AGTGGGCCATCACACCCCTTGCTGCTTGCGGCAGTGATATCTCATGGCTTTGTCATGAACTGAGACATGAATCTATCCTTGCTAGCCCGTTCTAAAATGACTGTCCTTGGGAAAGTCTTGAATAACCTTCTAATATGAAGCACAAATGATATCAGGTGAGATTGTCCGACAACAACAACAAGAAGGCACTCGCATCCCTTGCTGCTTGCATTGATAATATCTCACGACTTTGACACAAACTCCTCTTGCCAGTCTATAGTCATAAGTATACATGACTAGCTAAGAACAAATCTGATTTCTTGTAGTATATAAGGTCATGCTTGGCAGTAAAATAATTGAGCCCTCGTGTAATTCTCACAGCTACAATGTCAAGGACTCAGGTGTTCACTGATGGTGTCGCTCTCTGAGTGTTTGCAGTTAAAGTGAAACACGTCCACTGACAAGCCAATGCCCTCGAAGAATGGGTCATCCTTGACCATTTTCGAAAGAGTGCAGTTGTTATCGAAGAAGATGTGGTCAGGCTTCATTGAGTCGTTACCTGCATAGACATTCTTGATAAATTGCTAGAAGGGAAGCAGTAAGATTATTTTTAAGATCAAACCCAAGGAAACAATGGCTTCTACATACCACAACACTCACCATTCCCTTTGCCCCAAAGAAAGTCTGCATGCAATGATCATGCCACATGGTGCAACCATCAGTTGTTCATTATGTGTCCTTCGGCGACCGGACATTGCTTCCAGTCTTCACCTTGTGGACTGTCCATGACCAACGTTGACAGCAGGAGTCAGGTCACCACCATCGACAACAGGTATGTCGGAAATACATATTTTGGGTTGCCATTCCTTAAAATAGATTGAAAGGCTTCAATTTGCCGGCAGCATTACGATTGACTTGCAAGAACACCCGAAATTGCCATAAGCCAGTTGGCAGTGACCCATTTGGTCTTGTGTCTGCCTTCCAAGGCAGTGCTAAAATTTTAAGTGACATGCCTTGCAAGGCATCGAAAGACAGTTTCAAGCGCTAAAGTGTCTTCCAATAATTTATTTTTATTTCAAGAGAATTTCGACATGCAGCGCTAGTTTCAATTCGACCGGTAAAATTCAAACTATAGAAATCACATTGAAACTCTCAGAATTGAATTGCGGGTGGTTCAAAATACAGAATGGTTTTTACTAATAGACTAGTTGTTTATGGTATGGTAGACATAGCAGGAGAGCGGATAGGAAGATATAATGATGATGGAGTGCACCAGCGCCAGAAATGATTGAGGGCAGCTGGGAGTAACGGCAACAGCAACGAGAGGGTGTAGATCTGAATCGGGAGTGTCAGAGGCAGAATATTAATTCAAACGAAAAAATACCTGTTTTGTTATTGCTGTTGTTGCTGGAGCTGGAGCTGAATCAGATTCCTAATACCGCTCACAGACTGGTGGTGATGGCAATGAGAGCGGGTGGACAATGGTGAGGTCAGAGGCGACGGGATAAATTTTAAAAAAAATTAACAGTACCTTTAAGACAGTAGACTGCGCTGCTGCTTAGACTGTTGTTTGTTGGTGGATGGTCCAGTCTAGAGGCACATTGATGATTCAGAGCTGCAGCGACGTTGACGTCGAGCGAAATCGTAGTGATTATAATGATTGTCGATGGACTTAGAGAAATTGTGGTAGTTGGATTTCAAGAGACGAGGTAAACTTGGCATGACTGGAAATGTAGCTGCTTATTCAGCTGTTTGGTTGTATGTACTTCTAACCTAATTTAGTAGTGATTCTGACTGACGTCGTATCATAGTAAAGAAGATATTTGAGCGTGCAGAAAAAGATTGAGATAAACAGCGTGTGATCAGAATGAATCATTTCTTGCGGCCAGACCTACGGACCTCAGCACCTGTTTCGTCCTGGACCGCCTTGGCTTTGGTTTGGGCTTTGGAGGGATAGCACCAACCGCAATAGCCTCGTCTGCCAACGCAAGATCTTGCATTGCCGAAGAAATGGAGTGAGTTTGTGCCCCAATGATAGGAGTAGGCGAGTGCAAGATGACGGGAGCTGTCGCAGAGACAGGTGGCAGTGTGTCAGGGGTGGTGACAGGAGTAGATGCTGGTAGTGCGACCGAGGCAGATGGGCATGCGACCAAGGCAGATGGCGGGTGCGCAGCAGAGGCAGATGGTGGGTACGCAGCAGAGGAAGATTGCGCAATATCCTGAGGTGCAATGATGGCAGTATCAAATGGAAAAGCAGGCCCTTCACCTCCCTCTTCCATAGCGCGCTCGAGTTCCTCTTCCCAGCTGTTGTAGGAGGTGCCGGTATCTGCCACATCCAGAGCGGCGTGTGAGGATGAGGTTTCAGGAAAGAGGGCGTTGTTGAAAAAGTTTGTGATGTCTCGCGCCCAGGCACCTCCAGTCATTAGACGTTGGCGATAATAGTTGTGATATTGTTGGTACAGTATGTTGCTTTTTTCGCCTTTCGCATACAGATCCTTGTCACCTGAAAGAACAAATATTGCCTATCAGTGGAATATTAATCAGCGCACACTCAGAGATATGACATTAAATGAATACTTACAACAACAGCAGCAGCAGCAATCATACCTGGAGTTGTATTCCGTAATTGCCAAAGTTTGCCCTTGGTCTTCGGGGCTGGAGTGTAGGTGGCGGAGAGGGAGGATTTCCCGAAAAGTGCTACCTTTAAGACCTAAGTGTAATTGTAGAAGCGATCAGGACTTCGTTAATGTACATAGAATAACACACGCACCCGAACAAGCTTAGCCGTTTTGAGGAACTCGTCTTTGTTGGGACGCTCTGGATGAAGAAAGAGTACCGGCGCAAACTTTGTGTATTCGCCGTGGGGATTTACAAGCAAAGTTCGGCACTCTGGCTGGGTATCGCGAGGGTAGCCTCGGACAAAAAATTCAGATTTCAATCCGAAAATAGCACCTGCGCAAGACTTGACGTCTGAAACCATCTCTGAGCGAATGCCGCTGACACCCTTTGCAAACTGTCAGAATTGAAATTAGTTGCAAGTTAATTGAAGTAAGCTGAGACATTCCCTACATGCGGTGCAAAGTTCTTGTAGCCCATCAACTCATGATCAATTTCTGGGATGAACTTGAATAACTCAGCCTTTACGCCGTCCTCTATTGACTGTGGCGACAGCCAACACTCGCTACCAAAGAGTTCAATGTTAGGAGGCACACACAGAGGAAAAATCCCGGCGTTAATCCATAGACAGTGCGTCATAGAATATTTACGCCCGTGAGCCCGTATAGTGTCTTCTTTGGCAGAGAGTGCAAGATCCTTGGCAGTCAAGTTTTTCCCCCGTCGTCCTTTGGCTGTAGTAGCTTCGAGAAGGGCGTTTCGTTTCAATAGTTCTCGACATTTGCCACGCATATTCAGCAGCAGATTCTGTGCCATTTCAAGCGCCTGTATGTATGTGAGTAGCGGGAAACGACACCGGTCACAACCACAAGACACACCTGTCGGACTTCCTGAATAGTTGCACCATCTCTAGCAGGCGCAATAGCAGCGCGTATCTCCACGAGATCTTCATCTGAGTCAGTGGAGTCAGAATCGGTCGAGTCCTCGTTGGCGTGTGAATTGCTTTCGAAGTCTGAATCATCTTCAGCAAATTGGTTTCACTGTGGTTGAGGCATGGTTCAAAGGGCGATGAGGTGCAACTTGGCCTGAGACTATCAATTTTTCCATAAGATGTTTATATACAGTATAATATACAAACACATACTGAGGCTCGTGGTCCATTGAATGTAATGTAAACGCACACCCTATTACTTACCTCCATGAGTCTAGACCAGACACGTCTTATCGCTGGCAGGAGGAAGCACGACGTAATCGATACTTAGGTGAGGGTGTTGAAGATTTGATGGGTGCCTGGCGGATTCAGAGATTATTACTACATCACGACTGCAGTTGTAGATACGGGATCACACACCTTGACACTGCATCAAATGAGCAACAAATAGGAAGAGTTGTACGTCATTGTTCGTGTGACTTTGGAGGCAAGGATAGCGGATACGAACAAGCGGTGACCCGGGGATCCCTGGGCAGTGGAATTCCGGGAAAACAAGAATCTGGGCGCTGGAGAAGGATGAGCGCCGTTTCGTGCGGTGTAAGGTGTATTAATGAAAGAGGGAGTTTGACAAGGATTGGGGATGGCATGAGGGAGTTTGACCTTGTGAGTTAGATGAGGATTGGGGGTGGGGGCGCAGGAAAGTGTGGGCCTCCATTACCCTAGAAGGACCTCAAAAGTTTCGCACGGAGGAACATGTCCGTGTCAACGAGATCGACAAGAAAGAAATCACGATCATGATCATGATCTGGCACAAGTAAGGCGCCGCGAACGATAGACTGCAGAGAAATAAATTCCGAGGAGGCTAGAGGTCGTGCGCGAAGGCGAGTCAGCCCCAGATCACGATCCACACCACCTCTGGAACCAGTGGGAGCATCCATGGGTAGGACTAATGCGAGTTCGAAAGTGTGATTGCTGACCGTGAACTTGAACATGAACAATAGCCGAACAAAGATGCACTTGTCGATCCCATCCTTGTCTAGAGTGCGGATCAAGGCACAATCACGACGTTCGCACCCATGGAAGTTCGGATTACATCGGAGGTAGTCAGTAGTCAGTTTCCAGTCGACAATAGACTCATAGTTTACTTTGAGGTAGCGATGTTCTTGGAGCTATGATAAACCATAATTAGCAGATATTCAGAACGATGCGGGTGAATGAACGAACCTTGTCGTTAGCTGTAGGCCGCAACCACGTAACACCATCGGCCAAAGGAATATTGTTTGATCCAACGAAAGTGTTGAGAAACTTGGTGAATTTCTTTCGGAAATCCTGGAAGGCACGGTTAGATGTGTTGCCTTCCTCCACTGCAGCGAGAGTGACAGGAACTTGAGGAGCGCCAATATGAAGATGGCCTGCGAATGGTTGATCGTCTAGTGTATCCTCGTCTTCAAGTTGTCCCTGTGACATTGTGCATTTGTGCCGATCTTCATCGAGGTAGGAAATACGACTGCGGATTAGTTCGGAGACCAGACTGATGTGATCAAGCTTGAGGACCTGTGTGTTGGTGTTGGTGTTGCGGGCAGTTTTAATTAAGGGACAATTGCGCACCTGATTGGCAACATCCTTGCGGTTTGTTTGGCGTAAATATGCTCGCTTCAATGGTCCATGTTGTTTCTCGTTCGGTCAAGTACTGAAGTTGCGGACCGCTCCTTTCGCGCGAATGTCGGGGAAAGCATGTGTCAGAGCATGCACCTTAGGGAAATTCCAGTTCTTCGTCAAATCTTCACCCTGGATGTCGATATATGCCTGAAAATATGTTAGATACAACTAAAAGTCAAAGGAAAATGGTATATACATACATGTAAGTGTGTCCCGAATACTCGAAGCTCTGCTTTGCCAGCAGTGAGTGTTGCTTCGGTATGCACATCGAGCGCTATGTACATAGTCAGTCGCAGGTAGCTACCTATACACTGCATTAGGGCATAGCCAACAGGATCTTCACTGCGCTTCAACACATTTTGTGCTGAGTACAGCATTTGCTAGAGTCCAGAGAATGTTAGTAGGTATATTGATATACAATGTCGAATAGTGTACCTTCGCAATATCTCTGAGTTTGTTGCCATCGCTAAATGATATTGTCATGACGGACTTGAAATGATTCAAGTCATGCCATCTTGGAAACGCTTCGAACCTGCAGAGTCTTGTAAGCGATATTAATGTAGAAGGTAATATGAAATATACTTACTGTTTATCGATTTTTGCCTCGGCCTCACGACCAAGTGCCTTTGCACGGACTTTGAGCTCCCCGAAAAGGTGGTTGCCCCAGTTACCAATGTCATTGACATGTAAGGGATCGAATGAGAGCGTCTCATGAGGATCGGAGTTGTTGACTTCCCAGAGCGCATTCTAATGGTAGTCAATTGAGTGAGCTTATGAACGAAATCAAAACACAAACCGCAATGGGGCGTAAACCATGCACCTTCAGGACTTCTGCCCCAGCAATGCGGTCCCTCAAATACAGCTCTAAAAAAGCTTTTGCGTCTTCGACAGTTCGAGTAGGATATGTTGCGTTGAGGTCAGAAAGTTTCGTCGAGGGAATACAACAGACAGGGCAGGGACAATTTGAATGTAGCCCGCGAATTAATGCCATCACGCATCTGTAAAATGTTAGTTAGCATGATGTAATACAAGCCTCAAGAATAAACACTGTTCTTCATAATCTGCGGACAGAAGTAGGATTAGTGGGTATAGCCATCGCATGATGGCGTCAAAGCATCTGTGCGCAAAGCCTGTTTTGGAGTACAGGATGATGGATTCCAACAACTTGATGAACACCTTATGCCAGACAACGCGTTTCATGTTCGTGTAATTGAGTTTTCCATCTTCATTGGAATCTGTAGGAACCTGTTGAATTAGAACTTGTTATGCGTACCTACTAATATTATGATTGATACTCGAACACTCACAATCGGCAGCCAGCCCACCACATGACCTCCTCCAATTCCGTCACTGTTTCTTATGTGAACGGGAAGATTTGCACAACGAGCTATCACTGGGTATGCCTTCACGTGCCCAGATGAAGTGAGATGTGTTTTGTCGGCGTAGAGGATGAAGGCGAATGGAACACCGTTGTTCGGCAACGATGACTATGATAGATCGAGTACAGATATAACACATATATTAGCAGCATACTACAAAACATGAATACATAATAGTGCATACTTGAATTCGCCACCACCGATCTGCGGTCCAAGGCTCGTGAATAAACCGTTTAAAGTCAGTACCATCGTGCTTGTACAAATGTTGCGCGTCCCAAACGAAGTGCAGTGCCAACAGGGGATCTTGCAACAAGTCCATAGCCCAATCCCACAGCGGCCGTGTATGTACGTCGAATTCGATTTCCTCCTTCTTGTAAGGGACGGAGATGACGTGCTTCTCGAACTGTACGAATTATACCTGAATACTCAGTAAGCAGAGTGAATGAAATTTAAAACATCTCACAGTCGTCATTTGAGTGGCTGCTCGATCCCAGGCCTTCGACACTTCAGTGTGAGATCTGAACGTAAACTTCGCTTGTCCCTCAGCAATCTGCCATATCAACTGCAGCATTTTGTCGGTTTGATCCTTATTGAGTGCCGCTTGGTGGGCAAGTTCTGCGAATTCGAAATCTGCGCGGCATGTAAAGGGTTGCCAAGGTGTGTTGTCGACGATGGGCGTGGAACTGGCCTCTGCCTCAACAGGGTGTCCAAAGGTGGAAAAGGTCTCAATGGCAGGGGCGCGTCCACTGTTTGGGTGATATTCGGTTTTGAATGTATCACAAGCGATAGGGACTGCAGTTGCTACCGCAGACCTGCTTGTCAACATGCTTGTGTCTGAGCCCGATCCTAATAATAAAACATTATATGTAAGTTAGAAACAAAATGTGCAAGAGTGATACACATACGTAGACAAGAATCCCCCCCAATGCTCATAACACCATCCTCCACGTCACCAAACGCGTTGTTGTCGGCACCTTTGACATTTTCTATGTCATAATTGGCATGCTGATCATCCACTGGCTGTGAAGGTCCAGTAGTGTCAGCCACAGCTACCTTGTGTCCATTTCGGAGGTGTTGTTTATCCTTTCGATGTTCTGATCAACATATGTCAATATAAAATCTGACGCATCGTAACGTTTGAAGTCCAACGAGCTAAGTAAATGAATTGGAACGATGGCGTACCTTTCCTTTGGGCCTCAACTACCTGAGCTGCAATATCAGCAAACTCCTTGTCGCGCCGTTTCTTCTCCCGCTTGCGTGAACAGCTCCCCTCGTGTGACTTGATGCCACGAGCAGAAAATGATCTCTGACAGAGCTTACATCGGACCTGTGCAGAGGATTGAGTTGTTGACTGTACATAGGCCCGTCCTTGTGTAGATGACATCTAAAATACAGAATTAACAAGAGATTGATTGATGATTGATGATCGAAGGCGAATCAGTGATTGCAAGTGTGATGCGGCAGTCTAAGGGCAATATGATATTATGATATGTCACCAAGAACGTTGATGCGGCTGATTATTAATATAAACTGTATAGTCCTTCTAAGCCAATTCCAAGCCCCTTGGACCTTTGTCAGCCTGTTGAAATGCAGCACGGCATCTTGCGAGGCACCAAAAGAAGTCGGTGCCTTTGCCAGACACTCGAAATAGACTCGGTCCGACTTGAAACTCGGATGCAATGAGGTTGGAAGGCATCACAATTCAGTCCAAATATAGCAGCCTTCCAAGCCCCCTTTAGAAATTTCCGACATAGTGCTAAGGTACCCGTCTCATTGAGCTCGTATTCTTCTTCAGCATCTGGCAGGTGTAGCGTTGAGATCTCGACATCCTGACTGATAGTGTTGTTAGAGTGAGCAACTCTAGCACAAGCAAGACGTTCCTGGAGCTGAAACCGAGACTGCCCATGCAACTCATAGGTCCCTCAACATTTTTATGATCTGGCGTTGAGCATGTACAATGGCCAGGGACAACAGGTAGGTTACAGCCAATAATGGAGCACGTGCCATCATAGCTAGAATGAGCTGGACAGAATTGGTGGTGGTTGTTCAACAGTGGAGTGTGGCAGTTGTGGACTGCACAGCATGGGTGACCAACGGTTACGCCATCGACAACCACGACAGAGACCTTGTGTGTGGCTAAAAATACATAGTAGTAGGTCAGCTACTAGTACATGTCATCGATGTTACAATACAGCACTCACTAACACCTTGGTCATTGGCATACATTCGAGTACACCTATTACAGTAGTGCCGATGGACATCTTCGAAGCCATACAATTGAATGCGGTGATTCCTATCTATCATCACTTGCGTGAACCAGTCCCACTGGTTGCCAGTCTGAGGAACAGTGAGGGAACACATGTGGCGCTTGCGGTCTTCGAGTAGTGTAGTGATTACAAATGCATTCCAGACGTGGTCACCAGTAATCTCAAATTTGACAAGATAGCCGTCTGGTGCACATTTTCCCTGTGAGAGGCACATATTGTATAGTTGTGCGCAGTTTGTTGCCGAAGTCCTGGTGTGTGATCTCCCATGTCAGTCTCGATAGATTCATCTAAGCCAAAAAAACAATTACCATGAGACATCCATAGCCATCTTGAAGAGCTCAACCACATCTTTCTCCATGAAGACATGATCCGTAACCTGGATGGTCTCGGGCTGTTTGTCATAGTAGGTCTGAATACCACCAGACATGGTATAGTTGTGGCGGTAATCAATCTGACAGTCTGGAAGGGAAGAGATTGAGGAAGAAAAGTTAGAGTGTGAAATGTAGTAGTTACCTGTGCAGTAAAGGTGTACAGATTGTGCAGCACATGGCCCATGTGCAAGGATGAACAGGACAACATTTCGTTGCTCGGCCTTCTTCAGGGTCATGGCTTTGATTCAACAGGGGCAGTCAGGCTGGGTGCAGTATTGGGTTGGTGGGTAAAGGAGGTACTCAGCTAAAGGTGACATCAGTCAATAACAAGTGGGACAGTGCGTGAATGTACCAAATCCCCTCCGTGGTGCATCGGTCACCCACACTGAACTGAGATCCTTGTCAATGGCACCATGCCATATGACATCTTGTAAGAGCATCCACACATCATTAGCTTGCACTGGTGAGATAGAGCATGCCGTGGCAAGGAAAGTGTTGAAGGCAGGGGATAACACAGGCGGAGGCTCAGAGATGGAGGCTTGAGCCAGTTGTACGAGGATTATGTCCTCTTTGAGACGGCTTGTGATACTAATGAAACAAAAAAGGGTAGTAATAGAGTTACAGCTAGTAACATCAGGCTGGCTCTCGAGATGTTGCAGTAAGCCATGGAAAGTTCCCATGCTCGGTGTCTCGAGTCGAGCGTCGATGCCTGAGGCCTGAGTACTGAGTGTTCGATCTTGATTATCAGTGGACTACATCACTACTTGAGATGGACAGAGCCGGGCATAGGCGGTTGGACTGGACAGACCCGTAGACCACCAGACCCGGACTGCCGGAAATTCAGATTCCCAGACTTTCTGCTGCTTCGAGTGTGGAGGGCAGCTAGGCATGTGGAACTGTCTGAAATCATGTGAATAATTAAAACCCAGCACAACCTTATTCCCCTCACACTCTCAGCAGTGGCTGGAAGATAACATTTGTAAACATTATCAGCCACAGTGGTTGAACCATCGGAATGCGAAATTTATTCATGGAGAATGAACTTAGAGTTAGAAAGACCTAGGCATTTTTTGTATTAGACAATCAAACAAGTTTGGTAACTCATCCTTTACTACTAGCCTCTCAAACTCTCTGTTGGGTTTAATAATCTGTTTGGGGCTAACAGGTACCGCTTGGTACTTGAGCGCATGAATAGCCTTGGGGTATTATTCAGTGAGTAAAAGTTTTGCAGTCCAGATCCAGACTCACAGCAAAATTTGCAGGGGTTGCGGTCTCACTGCTTATTGAAATAGCTTGTATGCCTGCCCTGGCGAGTGACACTGCATTCTGCTTGCCAAGCATATTCAGAGGTGTGATGACAATTTGTATACCTTGACGGAATAACAATGCTATCCAGAAACCTAGTGTCTTGCCCATTCCTGTACCTGCAGTACAGAGTACATCATGGTCGCCTTTCAGGAGTGCCTCCGCAACCTTCAGTTGCCATAAATAAGCTCTGACTCCAAATTTTTCTTGTGTCACAATCCGGATCTGAGCTAAGGAAGGAATATCTGTATTGAAAGTGAGAGTTGGAATAGGAGCAGCTGAAGCCATTAATGGCAAACACATGTTGCTACGTCTACATAGCACAAGTTTTTCAATTGCCTAATACAAAAAATGCCTAGGTCTTTCTAACCCTAAGTTCATTCTCCATGAATAAATTTCACATTCCGATGGTTCAACCACTGTGGCTGACGATGTTTACAAATGTTATCTTCCAGCCGCTGCTGAGAGTGTGAGGGGAATAAGGTTGTGCTGGGTTTTAATTATTCATGTGATTTTGGACAGTTCCGCATGCCTAGCCGCCCTCCATACTCGAAGCAGTGGCTGGGAAGGAGCCTGGCTTAAACCTGGTTTTATGTTCTCTCTCATAGCAATTTCTTCCAATTTAATAGAAGATCATTGGCATCTTTCCAGACTTATTGCGTATGATGCACTCCCAAATTTTCAGGATGGCTTTGACTCAACAATATCTTATGCAATGTTCACCGCTGAGACTAGAACTGATTCAGCTTTCTACGATCATGACAGTCTGACAAGTCGCAGTTATACTCTTACTGGAGTAGTCTCTATGGGTATAATCTGCTGCTGCTGCATCACTATAGACACTGTCATGTAGCTGCTCATGGAGTTTCTGCAGTAGCTGTCATCAATATACAACCCTCGGCATGGCGTGCTCACCTAGCATCCGGAAAGTCATATGTTCCCTTTTGGGAGTCATCGTAGTATATCTGGATCAGCTGCGCTGGCCATGTACATCTGAATAAACTCTACAACCTCGACCCATCCCTGCTCACCGTACTGGTGTGGACGTTCATGTCCAATTTCATATGGTATACCGTTCTGGGTGTCAGTGAAGATTGTGGACCAAATCGGGGCCTCAATGTGCAGAGGTGGATTCTGGCCTTTGTCAACATGGCGATTGTCCGGGATCGTCGACACTCGCACTGCATTATTTAGAGCTTGTCATGAATGTCGTTCGAGATGAAAGACAATGGAGAAACACAGCCAGGAGGGGGGGACTTCAAACGATGACAACCAGCTGGAGTAGGTTTTTCTGGATCGCGCTGTCTTGTAGTTTTCTTCGTGAAGTCTCTACTATGTGAGTCATTCTTGTCTAGTTCATACCATTCATGTTACTAAATGAGATTATTAATGATCTAGACTGGATACTCAGGCTTTCATTCTTTTGAGATGACGTGGCCAACAATGAATCAACTGGAGATATATGCATCCAAGGCAGGTTCTGATTCTGGGATTCCAATGAATTCATCCTAAACTATCCGTTGTGGAGTCCTGCCATCCAGGCGCGTTGAATCAATATTCCAAAGCGGTAGAACCTCTTGGAAGTTCTTCCCAAAATGAAAATTTCCTGTGTATCAAAGCAAGCTTCGTCTGCCTCAGTAGCCCAGAGTCCCTTTTACAAAGCTTGTATCACTTCGCATAAATCATGCATTTCTCCTTCCTCATAGTCGTTACTCCTTAGCAGCATGTATGTCTGTCGCTGCACAGTGCAAGCCCACTTTGAAGACCTGCTGCATCAACAATGATTGCTGCAGTCATAACTGTGCTCTGGTGGTGGTGAGTACGAGTAGTTTGTTTTGCAGCCAGGATTCAACTCCGTTGCTCACCACCCCTTGCTGTCAATA